AAAAAAAAGTTTTAGACAAATGTTGTGAGATTTCGAATGGGTCATGTAATTATGATATTGATTATTTTGATGGGATCACTATGGAACTTTTCGTTATTGCCATTTTTTTAAACGAAACGATATATTTTTTATGATTTTTCTAGTTCTAGAAAATGATATTCTGAGAGTAAAAATATTAAGGTCAAAAAGTCAATAGTTAGAGAAGATATTTTATATTTTATTCTATATTTTGACATATAATGTAAAATATATCTCGTAAATTATTAATTTTCTTTATAACCATACCTTAATACTTTTATGCATAGAATAATGAGACAAAATGGTTGATATAAAGAAAGAATTACTTGTCTTAAAGAAAAAGTATAGTATATTGTTAATTGCATAACTTTTTAAAAATAACTATGTATCTTCTTTACACAAATGAATTTGTCTTATTGATTGATCAGTTAAAAAATATTAGATTATCTGAAAGAAAGAGATGTCCATTGGAAAATTCTTAAACACCGATCAATGTGAACTATCATACCATGCACTAACGGGGGACCTTCCTTACTTATATATTATTATAAAATACCTGATCGGAAATAGTAAATTTAACAGCAGTAACTGTCGTTGTTCTCATAAGAGCCGATGGCGATTTGAGCGATTCCTGCAGTCTCGGTAAAAGAGTAGCAGGATCGATTAAAGTCAATTTACCGAGACATTCAGCTACAACATTACGAGTACCCTCCTCTGTGCATTCACAGTGCCTGTACAAAAGCATCCAAATCGAAGGCACAAAATTCTGCAAATGTGAGACGCCGGATGGACTGGCTGATTGACTCGTGATGATCTATAAAAAATATTTTAAAAATAATTGTTTCAACAAATTTTATTTAAAATATATAAAGATTAGATTGTAAAATAAGACTATTTGAATTTTACCTCTTTCAATGAATGCAATAAAAGGTATTGACGTTTCGGCTGTGCTTCGATCTCTTGAAGTATGAAAGGCAAATATTCAGGAAGATTACCAATTGCGATATTTCCTAGTGTATAACTAGCTGCAGACTTAACTTCTTCTGATGAAGATGAGAATGAATTTAGAATCGTATGTTTCAATGAATTAATTCCACTTAAATCTCTGTGGAAACATTTTAAAAATAAATCTTTTTTTTTAATTTATCTTTACAAAGAAATAGAAGAATATTATAAATTACAATTCTCTTACACATGTCTTCCTATCTCTCCAATGACAAGCAAGGCAAATATATGTTGTGCGACGTTTTGAACATCTTTTGATGGATTCTGAACGTCTTTTAATAATTGTTGCACAATACACTGCGCTTCATTATGCCATGTGATTGTTAATGCAGCTGCACATTTAGCCAACGAATGATAAGCCTGTTTATGAAGTAGGGAAGAAGTAACTGGAACTATTAACATTGCGAGAAGATCTCTATAGCCCAGACCTGGCAGATTCGCTTGAACTAAAGCTTGGAAAAATTCGAGCATCGAATTTAATGCGACACCTGTTCAACAAGAATTTAATTTGTATAAATGTATTAAATTTTGTGATTTTTATTTAACATTAAAACGAAGTAACATTATTTACCTTGAAGAAGCGGCGATTTTACTAAGGTGAGTATTTCTGGCAAGATATGTTCGGAAATCCTGGTAAGAGCAGCTGGATGTAATTTTGCTATCGTAGTCAGAAGATTCAATGTTAATTGTGCAATGTGCAGATCTGACTCGTTTAGTAACGCAGGTAATTCTGTAGTAACCTGCAAAAAAAATTAGATATCATTTTCCAATGGTTTTTTTGTAAGTATTACACAAAATGAAGGTTAAAGGTGATAGGATCAATTAGATATCGATAGAAGATTGAAATAGTTACAAGAAGGAAACAATCCTAATCTAGGTAGCTAGAATAGTTTTAATGTTCTAATATTAATAGTATTATAAACACACACACACACACACACACACACACACACACACACACACACACACACACACACACACACACACACACACACGAGAAAGGATAGGGTAGGGGAGTGGGGTGGAGTAGGGTGAGTGAGTGAGTGAGTGAGTGAGTGAGTGAGTGAGTGAGTGAGTGAGTGAGTGAGTGAGTGAGTGAGTGAGTGAGTGAGTGAGTGAGTGAGTGAGTGAGTGAGTGAGTGAGTGAGTGAGTGAGTGAGTGAGTGAGTGAGTGAGTGAGTGAGTGAGTGAGTGAGTGAGTGAGTGAGGGAGGGAGCGAGCAAGCGAGCGCGCACGCGTGTGTGTAAAAAATTCTCTCCATTACCTTGTCAAGTAAGTCCGGATGCAAAGATGAGCTATAATTGCATACTAATGTATCCAAAAGAGGGAGAGAAGAGAGTTTTAAAGCTCGTTGATTTTTCCTTAAGAAAGATCCAAGAATAGGTATTGCTTCTTCCTATAAAAAGTAAGCAGTTTGTAAAGGAATTTTTTGCATAATTTCTCAATAATATATTTGCATATATATGTTTACCATAATCGGTTTCAAATCGACTCTTAGAGGAGATGCGGCAATGCAAGTCAGAGCTTTAACAGTGGTAAGCCTTGTTATCTCGTTGCGCAACCTATCTAGGAAAATAGGCAGGCATACATGTAACTTGTCTGACAAAGTATCTCCGAAATGTGCAAGAATCTGTCCCATACAGGCGATGGCTCTTTCCTTTACTTCTTGATCGATATCAGCTGTTTTGAGCCTCATTAAAGTGCAATGATATATTTCATTGGATAATGAAGTGAAACCACGATAAAAAGGTTTATCTATAAGTATTAATTCATAATCAATATTACTTATATATGTATATCCAAAGTTGTAAATAAAAATCATATTGTAAAATGACTACCATGAGGTCTGATAACTTGTACAAGCTGTTGTAAAACGAGCAATGCTTCGGCAGCAATTTTGTAAAATGAATCTCCCACAGCTAATATAATTGGAGGTGCCAAAACAGGCATATGAACATGAAAAGCTTCGGGCTGATGCGTCATTAGTAATGTATGTACGAAGGCTAAAGTGTCGATCTTCATATTCGAGGAAGAGTTTTTATCTCCCAAGGAATATTGTATTCCGGGAATCAGTGCTGGAATATGATTAGTTAAAGCGCCAGGTAAAACGAGCACCAATTCTTTTAGCAAGGAGAAGCAATCTTGTCTCGTTTTGATGCTCTTTTCCTTCATCTGACGATGAACTGCTTTTACTATTAATGGTACTTGTTGTTGCAACAATGAAATAGGTCCATCATCGTCTTCCATAGCATCAGGATCGAGCACTACACCAGTAGTTGGCCTCGTTTGTCTCAATAAAGCAATATATGCATGGAAAATATCTGATTTAACATTCTCTTCTCTTTCTATAATTACGTAATGTAAATTATAGTTGTTAAATAAACAAGACTTTTCAATTAATTAAATATCCTTTATATATTTTCTAAATTTTAAATTTTTGAAATTGAACGTGTAATACTTGCCTTTAAATCTTGCAATTAATGCAGGGGAGACTCCCTTATAAAGATCTGATAGTAATTCTCGTCTACTAGACACAACAGCTTCCAAACACTTTGCAGCTGCTCTACGAACTTTCCAACTCATATCATCATCATCAGAATATTCGTCTTCCGCGTCTTCTTCTCCATCTTCTTCTACTTCCATTGCGGCACTTTCTCCATCAGAAAAGTCATTGACATCGTCATCGTAATTGTAATTTGGATCGTATGTAATATATATTAGGCAAATCTCTATGATCTAAGAAATCAAAAAACTATTAAGTAATACATAAATAAAGCAAGTATAAATTTTTATGTAATATTTAATAAATACAAATTATATACCTTATTTATATGCGGTGTAATTTCTTTCGGACATCTATAAACAAAAGACTCAAATGCCTGTAAACAATACTCTCGCAATTCATCATCATCTTCATTACTATATTGAACAATTAACGGCATAACACGTTCTATTTGTTCGCCGAATCTGTGACCTGCTTGCCGGCTATAATAAATATTGACAAATGATATAATTTTTCTTTATCAATCATTCACGCACTTTGCAAATTGTTTACCAACCAGATAGAAGCAATACACTGAATATAAGTACGTATAACATTCTTTGACGTCTGAGTTTGAAGACCCTCGAGAAGATGGTCTAGCAATTTGTTGTACAAATAATTGTTGCTAGATGTCAAGAGATGACTCAGTGCTACTATAGTGCGTTTACGGACTGCTTGCCGCTGTGAGGAAAGTTGTGGTAATAATGCGCTCAGAATTGTAGGATGAAATGTGACTAGCAGGGCACCAAATCGAGATAATAAGTCAGCGACAATGTCGAGGGCTTCAAGCTGTACGGATACATCTTCTTGCTAAAAATATATTTTATACATACATACATACATATATACATACATATATGTATGTATGTATGTATAAAGATACATGTGTACATACCATACACACTCACGTGCACAACATTCCCATTATCATGTACCATGTTAGAAATATCAAATCTTACATCAAAATCAGAAAAATAATTTACCTTTTCAATAGCACTGCTTAATTTGCTTGTAACACGTCTACAAACATTTGCAACTAATGCGCTACAACCTACAGGAAGCTCAGAAATAACAGTCTTCAAGCCAATGCTAGAGATATCGCGCAATTGTTCCTTTTCTGATACCATATTGGTACACAGGGCATCCACAATAGTTTCTACCTGGTAGTCTTTTACCTTATTAACTAACGGACCCAAACTAAAACATATATATTTTTATAATTAAGTCAAATAAAAAAGCCCTTGAACAAAAACAAATATTTGTAATCCTTTGTGTTCCAATCCTTCATTTCATTCATGTTAATAATTTTCAGCTTTATAATTATATATAGTGTTATGTTAAACAAAAAATCTACCATTTAACAGCAAGATTCTGTACTTCTCCATTTTTGTCCTCTAATAACTTAAGAAGCATTTTTACAACTTTGCGTTCAGAATCGTCATCTAATTTGATGCTGTCTTTTTGTAGTTCACTCATCAAATCATTAGTTGCCATAAATCTAAAATCCTTATCGCTGGATGTCATCTATAAAAAGAACACAATCTGTTCAATTGCTGTCATATAATGAGAAATATATCAGATGTACATGACAGATACATACACAAATTATAAAATTAAAAATAATTAAATTAGAGTACATTTAATAAAGTAAATTAAAAAAATTATATTTAATTAATTCATAATCATACATGGAAAAAATCCAATGAGAATAATGATTCTCTCTATATATTCAACAAATTTGTACATTCAGAGATAGTTACAAACTTTCAAAACATGTTGCTCTAAGTGTGAAAAATATGTATATAGAATTATCTCTACTGCATGTGTTTTGCCGACAAAACCACCGACAGGTCCAGGCTAAAGGTCCAGGCGCGATAAGGTTATGTCGCAAAGAACTATACCACGGATGAATATTTGTCGCTGTAACGTTCGCGCGACAAGCGATACTTTTTGATGGCTATCGTTACTATATCGCCAATGTCGTTTACTACCTTCTCCAGCAGATTTGCTATTTGATAGGAGACACTAGCCATGATCGAGGAGTCTTCACAGCCGGTTTGATGACGGACAACCGAGTGCTCGACCCCGAAGTGATTCCGGGCCGGGGCGCCGAGTGACGCGCGTTCTTGCAACGAAAAAAAGAAAGGAAAAATAAAACAGATCTTAGAGAGCGAAACGAGATATACGACGCCGAAACCCGCGGAATGTCGAGGCAATGAATCGAGATAAGAACAGCGGCGCTTCTATTTTCTCTTTTCTTTTTTTCTTTTACACCCTCTTTATTGCTAAAATTCCACTGTCGGTAACACAGTCGGCACATCTCAACCGTGATACCAAATTTTGACGGTTGCCGAACACTAGCGTTCTCAAAGCCGTCATGACAGAATCTGCAGTAATATTAATTAGTGAAAGTATACAAATGTTATATTACTATCGTAATAATCGAAATAATATGTACTAGATTATATATAAATTAACAATGAGTTCCAATAAGAGAAAGATACTCGCATTGGACATATCCGACGAGGATGATAATTTCAAACATCGTCGTAGTTCTCTGAAAGTCAATCTGAGTTATAGTGAGAATTTAACAGATTCTGGCAACGGTTCTCTCTGGAAAACAGAGATCGAGAACAATGAGCAAGAGCTGGATGCAGCAAAGATAAATAGAGACAAGACTACATGTAAAAAGAATCGTCCTAATCTTGACAACGAGCATATGCGAGCTGTAAGTGATATGAATAAGTGTGTTTTAGATAACAATAATAAAATGTCTGTTCAGATCAAGGAAGGAATCCAGTTAAAACATCTTACGATAAATCTAGAGGATATAAGCATCAAGGAATACCATCTTGAAACAAGCTGCAAGCATTTGAAAGATCTGATCTTGTCCAAGACCAAGAAGATATTTGATAAGCAGAATGAGTTTTCGATAAAAACTGCAATGGTGTTAGGAAATGAGGTAAATCACTTTGAAAGTAATATAAATGATTTAAATATTGGAAACAAATCAGTTCTGGACACAATTGATCATCATTTGAAAGAGAAAGCAGTTGAGGAATATAAACAATATACTGATACTTCAAGTAATCAACAAAGAGAGGATAACTATTCCAATATCATTGCTACGCCAACAAACAGTAATGGATGGAGAAAGTTAGAGAAAACTGTGGACAAATCTAGATTAACTCAAAGACGATTGTTTGTTGAGAACAAACGAGTAGAAGAGCAAGTGAAATGTAGAATTATCAAAGACATTGTTTTGAAGAAAAGTCTTCCATTGCTTTCCTTAAGGCAAATGGATCAAAACTGCAGTCCTATATTAAGTGGTAGTAACAGAAGACTCAGTTTGTTAAAAACAAATTCTAAATTGTATGCACAAAGTCAGTTTAAAAATCACAATAACACATGTTCAATTCTACAGTCTAGTCAGAATATAGATGTAGGAATGCCTGTCATCTGCTCCACTTTCATTGAGGACAAAGCGATTGATGAAAGAAAAATTAACAATGATGTGGATATGTCTAATACCACGACAAATAAAGTAATATCTATGGAGATGACAGAGATTCATAATGGTATTCAAATAAGCAAGGAACATTTCTTAGGTACAAGTTCAAATAAAAACACAGTTGCATCAAAATTAGAAAACATTCAGCATCCTATAAACAAAGTTACTATACAAAATAATATTGTATATTCTGATTTATCTTGTGCAGATAAAAAAAATGATCAAAATGCAGCGAATGTGCATACAGATACAATTATACCTATGCAGATGTCAATTGAGGAAGCTGTTAGAAAAGCACATGATACATTGCAGACACATGAATACAACAAGAAGGCAAAATGTCAAGACGAGAGACGACAGATATTATATCTATCTGACAGCAATAACATGAATCGGTCATCCTTGAATGTGAACACTTCATTAGATGCAGTGATTGAAATTAGGAAAGTGAGAGATAGTCAGAAACCAAGTGATTACAAAACAAACATCACCAATCGAGAGTCTGAATCAAGAATTTATGATAAAGAATTAATGATTAATCAACATGAAAACGCAAATACCATTCAAACCTCATTGCAAATGAATACATCGATAGATTCTACAAGCAAAACATGGCAAAGAGGAAGTAATTATCTCAGTAAACAATCACAGATCACGAATGATAATGATAAAAATCAAGATCTAAATATGGATAAAAAATCGTCAGAAACAGAAAACGGAAAAAGAAATAATATAGATTTTTTGGAAAACATTAGTTTAATGGAGAGATTAAGAAACATCTCTATGAGAAACCAGATTTTTTATGATGATAAATCCAGAGTTTCTAAAATGAAGAATAAAGATAAAAGAAGCATGAATAGCACTGAAGATAACTATAGTTGTATTGAGGGAACGCCGTATCCAATAAATCGCTCGTACTTATTTAAATCACAGTTAAAACATAAAACACAAAATTTGGGTGATACAGCAGTCTGTAGCAGCAACTTGATGAATGATGAAAAGAGCAATAAAATTAAATCAGTTGCTTTGTAAGTTTAAAGAATATAGTCCATGTTCTATATAAAACATAATTATAGGATATAACTTGAATATTATATTATATGTATATGTATTATGTGTATATTACTGATTTATGTATAAAATATTAATTAAATAAACTAATACTTTGTGTTATTATATCTCCTGTTATTAGGCATTCAAAAAGTGTAAATAAAACACATGTGTCGACTGGAATGCAGGAAACAGTACAAGCTGACGCAGTTATTTTAGAAAATATATCCAACTGTAATCCTTTTGTTACTCAAAATCAGTTGATGGTCATAGAAAATATGCTTAATGAAACAAAGTCCGAAACAGAAAAGAATACAATTATTTCGGAAAACATGGAATGCATTCCTGTACCAAAAAGTAAAAGAAAATTGTTGTCACTTGAAGAAAATTCTCAGTTGTGTTCAATTACTCCGATAGATGAAAAAAGATGCATATCTGAGGAACCAACATCTATAAAACGAAATAAAGGGATAAAGAAAAAATATCCGAAAAGAAAGTCGATACATTCCAAGAATGATACAAGTAACATCAAGCGTAATATCATAAAGAAACAAATGTGGTCGGACAGTGATCGTGATGCATCTGAGAATAAAAGAAAGGAAAACAAAAAAACGCGACAACCGAGGAAGGTTATTAGCAAGAAGATTCGCATCAAGAAATTCGTCGATGAAAATATGTTGAATATATTACAAGGAAATGAACAAAATGAGGAAGATTGTTCAATAGAAAATAGAGATTCTTCAAACGATTTCGTGAAGCATTATACAATATCTAATCAATGGAATAAACACAAGTCCCAAAAGATTGTCATCGTAACAACTGGTTTATCGAAAGAGTAATAATAATTACACTCTACTTTAACTGTTTATAATGCCATATAATTTTGAAATCACATGTTTTATATATTTAAATTTTTAAGGCTTATTTCATTTCTTATCAATATACCATGCTATAATTTAGCATAGTATACTGATTTTATATTATTTCATTCTCTGATGACCAACCATTCTTTTATAATAATAAAAAAAAAGTTTAATAGTTTAAAAGTTTAAAAGTTTTATATATCAAGAGTCTGAATTTGAATTAAAACTTTTAAAGATTGAGAGTTATCAATTCACATTTCAATTGACAAGGTCAATGTTTGCTACTTATATATTATGTAAATTTTTTTTTAACATAAAAATTTGTGTTGTAGAGAATTAAATTAATTTTTAATCTTTTTTTTAAATCGAAATAATTTTTATAACATTTTATAATATATTTGTATTTTATAGAGATAAAAGTTTGGTAAAAAGCATTGTCAAGTTTCTTGGCGCGGCGGAAGTGGAATTGAATGTGTCAAGACGGACGACTCACGTTGTGAGTACGGGTGTGCGTACCGTGAACCTGCTTCGTGGAATAATTAGGGGCTGCTGGCTTGTTACTCTGGAATGGATCTTGAAATCCTTAGAAAATAATGCGTGGTTAAATCCAGATATGTTTGAAATGAAACATTTCTCTAAAGCTGTACAGGTAAGATGTATAAGACGATAATAAATGTATAGACTACGAAATAAATCTGTGCGTATCATATATTTTTATATCTTGCAGGAAAATCGGAAGGATAGGCAATTATTTGGAAATTCATATATCCCAGAATTATTCACTGCGTGTGGATTCATATACGTTGAAGGTAAAACTACAGTACCGTGTGATACACTTAAGGAACTTATAAAAACAGCAGGCGGGCACATTACGGAGAATATCAAGTTTGCGAAAATTATTATTGGCGCAAATGGTTTAAAAGAGACCTGGGTTATCGATTCTATTACGACAGGTGAATTACAATTGACTAAGCTTTATCAACGAAGATGAAATAGATAAGCAGAAAATATAGCATGTCTAAATTTCAGATTTATACAATTGTTATAGTACAAAAAATATTTGTATATTCAAGAATTATTTTTTTATACTATTTTTACATAAATCATATAGAAAGTATTTATCTATATAATATTGAATACTGTTACATACATAGGGTGTCTAAAAAATCACCTAAATATTTCCTTTAGTTTTGATGATACGAAAAAATATATTTGATAGTAACTAAAAGACGAATACGCTGTAAAGAATTTTTTTGTTCCGAAGTAATTTTTTTAAAAGTTTCCAACATCATTAGTATTTTTTTCCTCCATATAAGTTTAATGTAAATTTTTTCCTTATTATAACTGGCCTTAAAATGCATTAGAGATGTATAATGACATGATTTTTGACTTCCAAAAATTGTTAAGTTAAATGTGAAATTTATTTTCATCGAGATTGCAGTTTTCAGCAACAATAAACGAAAATCTGCGGATAAGTAAACATACATATTTACTATTGCATTACATATGTAGAAGATTTAACCGTTTTTGAGCAATTTGTCAATATTATTGATAGATTGTTTGCAATAAATTACTCGAAGAAAGAGAAAATTGATTCTGAAACAATGATTATTACAATCTCCTATTTGTTTCAGGTAATATTGCTTGAATATCAATTTGAAAACTTATTAATTAATGACACTAAGAAAGTGAGTGATAAATATCTTAAAAATTTTATAACAGTCAAGTTTTTTTAGACATTTATAATAAACATGTTTATTTACATGTTAATTCGCAGATTTTCAGCGAATTTCCCTATGATCTTGATGAAAATAAAGTTTATGTTTAACTTTAGTTTTAGGAATCAAAGATCATATCTTTAGAGTCATCTTTATCATCATTTCTAAACTCAATTATATATCAGTTACAATATGCAAGTAAAACAAGTATTACTTATTTAAAAAAAAATATATTGATAACTTTAAAAACTTTGAAAAGAAAATTACCTAGGGACAAAAATCTTTGCAATGTATTCATTACTTGAAATAATTCAAATTCCAAATATTTTCTTTAGTATTATCAAAATTGTCAAAAAAATTTAAATAATTATCTTTAAAAATGAGATACGTTGTATATCATCGATAAAAAAGTAAGCTATAATTTATTTATTTATGAGTGAAGAATTTATGTAAATGTTTTATATATTTTTAAAATAGATGTGCGTGCGTGCGTGCGTGCGTGCGTGCGTG